AACAAAACTTTAAAAAATAACAAAAAAATTTTTGGACAGGCACCCTTTAATTTCCCTTCTTTTTTTTTTTCTTTTTTCAGACGAGGCTCCCAACACCCACACCCTCGTTAACTTCCCAGCCTTTCGGCGGAATTACGTTAGCCCTCTGGGCCCCCAAAAAGAGCTACAACCGGTTACTTATCTGGGCAAGGTAGGAAAGATCTAGGCTGGACTGCCTTCGTACGACCGCGCCCTAGCCGCAGCTAACAGGATGACAAAAGGATGTCTCCCTGCCGATCCTTCAATTTAACCACGGTGGTGCGGTTAACACACTTTACCAGAGATGCGCATCCCAACACTTTAACTTCAAAGTACGTACTTTTACACATAAACCAACCAGAGAACACACACTTTTTTCTCTGTGGCGGGCAACACTGTCAAAAAATAACTAATAAAATAGCTTAGCTTAGCAAGGGTCGGACACACAAAACAATACAAAGCCAGAACTCCAGGAAGTGAGAGGTAGAAAAAAATGTAAACCAGATGTCTGTACCACAGCTAAGCTACCCCCACCACGCTATAAATCAGTTTGGACAAGACAAAGAACTGTCTTGAACCACACCCCTCTTTTAAATCTTTGAACGGCCAGCGTTCAAATTTCCACCAAATCAAGCTTTACACACAAAACAAACTAACTAACATAACAATAACAGACAACAAACATAAAAATTTAAGAAACATAAACTGGATTCCTTTTCTCTATTTTTTTCCTTCAAAAACTGGCCAGACACATCTAAACTTCTATTTCAATACTGAGAGACGTCTGTAATCTCACATTTCACTGCTTTTTACTCTGTAGCTGCACATCTAATCCTCAAATTTAATATTCTCTACACAAATGTGGCATTTTTCGCCCTCCATATCTCAGCTCTACTTCACCTCCGCATAAAACACTCTGTTCATCTCTCGTAAAAATTGAATCTGACGGAATTACATGCTTTTTCCAATCCCGGAGCAGAAAACACCACAGCTTGACTATTTAAAACATAAAAGGAACAGTTTTATTGTACTTTAAGCTGGTTTACGACATCTGCCGTCACTGCAGAGCACGCTTTCGCGCTCAGAGCACGTTCTGCCCTGCCCCCTCTGTCCGCAGCTGCGGCTCTTTGTTCTCCTCGGAGCACTTAACTCGACAATAAACGCTCTTTTTAACCCCAATAAAAACACAGATACACCAAAAACACAAACAGAAACGCTAGCATAACAAAGAAATTTGATTCTAGAAACAAAAGAGACACAGAAACAATCTGAAACACTTCACGTATATTTACGCTCCCCCGTTCAGTTTCACAGCTGCATTTTACAACATCATGAAGCAGATACACGAAGAACACGGCCAAATGAACGTTTTTTTCTGTAAGTTCGTGAATAGAAAATGCAAAACAGACCTAAATTCGTGACGCCATTTTGTAGTGTCTCCTTCTGGTCTCTTGTTCAGTTTCGGTTCGGTTCGGCTGGGCTTGTCAGCTGCTGGACTCTGCTCTTTCCCTCGTCTGCTCACTTCTGGGGCTGATGCTGTCGGTGGCTCGGCTGTCGACTGGTTCTGCTGTCGGCTGCTCTGGTGGCTGCTGCTCCCGTCTGAAGTCTTGTCACATGTCGATAAACTCTAATCTAACATTTGAATGAAGGAGAGACTATTTCTTCAGCTTTGGACATGTTTATTAACGAGAGACAAAAAAAAAAAAGCGTCTACACAGCTAGATGTTTACTCTGACTCTGCCCAGAGAAGCGCGCGCCTGCCCTGACGCTCGCTCTCCCTTAAAGGGCCATACACACCTGAAAATTCACCACACCAGCATTTGCAACTCCTGTCCCTATAGACCTTTTGGAGATTATTCAGTTGTGTTTTTCTGAGAGACCACGTGCCCACTCAATTTGGATCACAGAAAAAAAATCATAAAGCCCTGCTTCTATATTTATTTTTATATGGTGTCTATTGCTTTTTCTGTGATCTTGTTGTCATTGTGCCTTGTATTCTGATCTAGCAAACATTTAGTTTATTTAGGTATTAAAGTTTTGGGAGAATTGTGTAAACTTCGTCATAAACCTGGAGGTTTCTGCCATCTAGTAGTGTAACATGGACATTACAGCAACATTTATTTATGTTTAGACATGTTAAAACACTTGCAGGATGAATAATAACTCTATTGATGAAGTGAACCCAGGTTGTTGAGCATGTTAGTTGTGGTGCAGGAAGAAGTGTAGTGGGTTAATATTGTGTAATTTCTTCTCTTCCAGGTTCAAGTGTCATCTGAAGTTCAGCTGGAGTTTACCGGTGATCCCTGACATGGAAAAAAGAGCTGGACCTGTATCTGGGTTTTCCCAAAGAGCACAAATATCTCGTCAACAGCTTGATACAGGTACACACGCATGGATGTTTTTCTATTTGTATCAGGACTGTGTATTAACTTCCATTCATTTCCAGATATTTGTGGAGCCTAATCCTGATCTATACCCTAAATCTAACCACCCCCAGTACATAACTAACCCAACCCCCCTATCAGAACTCAATACATACCTAATGTTCTTTTCACACTAACCCCTCTACAGCACAGTTTGACTTGGATCTCCACTTGCAATAATAACACTACCAGGTCCTCCATTGTTGTGTTGCGTATTTTTTCAGGGTCTTCTTCTTCTACTATGTTCAATAATAGCTGCAAATAGCTTAACTGCGCTGAACAAAGTTGGAACAAGTCAAACCATCCTGTAGAGGCGCTAGATGGAAAGGGATGTTAGTCCCCCCCCCCCCCCCCCCCACACACACACACACACCAGGAGTACATTAACTTCCTCTGCATACTGAGCATATTTCCTTGTGTTTTCTGTGTTCCTGCAGCATGTCAAAGCAGTCTTCTTCCCAACACTGACATCCCTGGAAGTGATCTCATCAAGCTGAAGGCCGTCTCTCCTGAACACTGCCAGGTCCTGTGTTCTGCTCACCCACAATGCACCTACTTCTCATTTGTCAGGTACTGCGGATTTGACACTGAGTGGGACCATTTGACCATGTTTACATTTTTATTTCAAGTGTCTTCTCTACTTGAGCTTTCCTTGTCCAATGAGTCGGACTTGTTTCTGCAGCAATGACTTCAGCTGTTATCTGAAGAACAATGGAAACTCGATGGTGACCAGAGCAAAAAATGGACTCACATCAGGGATGCCGACCCGATTCTGTCACGTTGATGAAAGTGCGTACCAGAGATGTTCAGACCTACCTGACATATTTCTGTGTAAAAGTTTTGGTCAAGTGAGCAGTACGGTTCCCATAGGGGGCTAATGCCAGTCATTTGTTTAGTTTCTTTGAAATGTATTTAGA